TGTTCAGAACTTATTTCAAGGACGATAACAGAACCGTTTATAAGTGAGTTGTTTGGCTGATTCTTTTATTAGTAATTTTGAGTGGTTGTTTTATTTTTGTTCATTGTGTACAATGTTCATCGCTTACATTCAAATAATGATTCCGCATTAAGGCTGTTCATTTGCATTGATAAGCCGTTTGTACCGTTCGCTGCAAGGAATCGTCAAAGCGATATTGATGAATTGTCATCGGTTCGTTTCAGATTTGTATTGTTTTGAATCAGTATCTAATTTCTCAGTGTCGTTGTTATCGTTGCGATATTCATTTCATTGTTCGCTTGCTCTTATGTGGCTCTTATTGTTCAATAGATAAATATAATGAAATTTTCCAATAGTTTCGGAAGTAATCATGAAGACTTGTGCCTTTAGAAGGATGTGCTGGATATGGGGAAGGTATTCACTGAAAACGCAAACGAATGGCTCGATTCGAGGTCACCATTCAGCGGGTACCACGAAATTAAGCGCGGTTATCGTGTTAAGCTAGACTTTTGGTGTATGCGACCAGCACTGGTGCGTAGAATTTATCTATTTTGATTTATCTTTCAACTCGTAACTGATAAAAAAGTCACGCAAAATCAGAAATTTAGTCTTGTCTTCAATAATTCAAGGCATATTTGGATGCATTCAAAGAATGTCGCAGTGTTATATTGGCATCTGGGACGTTATGTCCAATCGAGACGTTTCGTTCAGAGCTAGGAACTGATTTCCCACAAACGATGGAAGGTAGTCAAGTGATACCAAAAGAGAACATTTTTGCTGCCGTTCTCCCGTCGGTAGGCATTGCAATTGTCCTCTTTGATCGCATTCTTCTATTAAGCCTTCAGTCCGGAGAAGAAAACCTTATTTGTGCGTCTTTTTCCAACAGTTTTTAGCTGTTCGAATAAATGTCTCATTTTCGAACTGAAATCGCTCGTTATTTAGGGTCCGACAGGTCATCACTTATGTGGTACGTATCGTAACGTGCAAAGTGATGATCGATTCATTCGTGAAATTTCGTTGTTGTTAAAGTGAGTTCAGTAGAGATACATTGTTTCAACTGTGTTTTGAGGAATGCAGTATTGTCATACAATGAATAGATAATCGAAAGTCTGCCTTCTTTTGAATGGAGGAAAATTTTGAATTTTGAGTGAAGGCGACTGTTTTGATTCGAAAAGAAAATGAAAACTCCAAACCGTCAAACACTATTAAAGTTAAAAAACTACACATATTATCATTCATCATGAATGTTAGATACTGGTGAATGCGAAAACGGCTAAGTCTGCTATTAGCTAAATGAAGTTGATGTGGAACCTGACAGCAATATCTTACTGATGAGATAAGTTCAGATCTGTATGTGAGATCGTACCAAAAGGAGTATTGTGCTTTGTGCCGAGTTATCAATTGCTCGACAAAGTGTACAATTTCATGGAAGAAAGTGGCATCTTACGTCAGATTCAAACCATCAAATGCGTTCTACGTGAACCACGTCGATCCACACAAATGAATGAGATAATGAGCAAATACGAAGAGGCCATCTTCCATTCGGATCGTTATGGACCTCAGTGTACCGGAGCGTTGATGTTTGCCGTTTTTCGTGGAAAGGTNTCTTCCATTCGGATCGTTATGGACCTCAGTGTACCGGAGCGTTGATGTTTGCCGTTTTTCGTGGAAAGGTGGCTTACCTTCCGTTTTCAATCGAATTTTGGCTATACCGAATAGAGACGAAGTTCATGAGATGTCTATTTTAAACTTACTCACTTGCGTCTTCATGCTTATTCGATTTATAATGTCCTCAGTCTGAGGCACACAGCTGAGGAGTGGATATCGGTGATATTTATATTTTATGTGCTGAATTCAAGTTGATCAGATTGATTGCTTGTGTGAAGAGTGCTTGAAGGTATTTGGCAAAGATTTGAAAAAGAGCGCATTTTTAGGTTTCCGAAGGAATCGACTTCCCAGACGATCGCGCCCGTTGTGTGGTTTCCGTAAGCATTCCGTTTCCAAACGCAATGGATGAACAAGTTTGTTTTTCGTTGATTGTGGAGTTGTTATTTTGTGACATGAAATTAGTGGCCGAGTAGAGATATATGGGTACAATGACTTTTTTGGTTTTGTTACAGAAGAAAAAGTTATTTTTCAACAGTTAATGTGTTTCATTGAAGAATTGGTGATGTTTTGAGGTTTTGGAGAAGAAGAAATTCAATAACGAAAATTGTAAAAAGTTGAGAATTCTAACCGGTGATGAATGGTACACAATGCAAGCGTATCGGGCGCTCAATCAAGCCCTTGGAAGGTATATATGGTCAAGCGTTTTTTTTTNTTTTTTTTTCTTGATTTTATCTTGCAGAGTACAATTTTTGGATGGAATGAAGAGAAATCGCTTGTTTGTTTTGATGGAATGAGTCAACTCACGAAAATTTTGATACCGAAGGAAATGCATTAGTGTAATTTCAGAATAAATTCTTTTTGATGGGTATCTCCCTCTTTTTTAATATTTTTTATTGGCGTAATGAATGAGCTGTTGCTGTAGATGTTTGCGGCATCGCTCTGATTGGGGTGCAATTCTATTGGCTGACAAGCGTCTGATGCTTACACAATCGAATCCAAACGCGAAAAAAGTTTCAAAATGGATTCGTGAGCAGTTGAGACCGCTCAGCAGCTACAAAGACTTCACGTCGAGCCTAGAAGAATTTGTTACGAGTATGCAGGCAAAGAGCCAGATGCAGAATTCCGAGAGCACAACAACTGATACCGTCACAAATGATAGCACCGAAATATCAATTCATGATTCTAGCAGCATGGCGAGTAGTGGGTCTCGGGATGAATAAATATGGCAAATATAAACTTGATAACATCAATTCCCTCTAGGGTAACAAAATGCTCGAAGGCAATAGATCCAAGAATATAGAAATGAAAATCGTGTGTTATCTATTTTACGTATTTTGGTATGAATCCGCATGGTAGTCACTATTTTTATTTTACTTGATTTTGTTCGATCAGGGAAAATTTAACGCCTAAATTGCATTCCGCCGTTGAATTTTGTTTTCATGACCATTACGTCTCCTGAATGACTCAGATTGTTCATATTGGTCACTTAAGTGCTGATTGTATCGCATTCCCTTGGTATTGTGCAGTACCTCCGTACATTTTGATATCAACTAATGTGCATTTATCAGTGAAATTCTTATTGTTGTTCTCATCTTCATACGTGTTGTGTTAAAATTGTTTCGTTATATAACTTATATCACATCATTATCACTCAACCGCAGTGGCAACTGTAGTTGAAATTCTTTCGAGTTCCTTTCAAACTTCGAGTATTATAAATTGTGTTCATTTTTGTATCTCATTAGGGGTATGTTCATTAATTGTTTTAAAAAAAAAGTGAATTTGTCACGATTTCGCATTTCATATGATCGCCTCATCTTGATATATGTATGTATACGAATATTCATTCGTTGATTTTTTTGTCCTAATGGAATTGTTGAGGTGTTCAATAAAATAGATATTGTTTCGTAGTTATCTAATTGCATTCGAACAGTTATCGTCGGAAGTTAAAAGAAATGAAACGAATTGGAAGTGTTTTCGGTAAGAAATTAAATTGAAGTAACAGTGTGGCAAGCTTTAAGATTATTAGCGGCTTGGTTAACCTAACGATTGCAATACTATGATACTATGAGTGTATATTATGATACTATTGCAATACTCAGAAATCATCGACTTTTCATATTTAACCTCCCAAACAAGCATCAAATAAATATTTATTCAATAACAATCATAAAACTGATCTCATCATCAAATCAACAAAATAATGACGAAAAAAACTCCGCCAAAACAAATAAAATATGAATCAACTCAACAACAAATAGATGAAGTGAACAAATAAATAAGGTAGTGAATGTGAAAATGTTCTATTCGAACGACAGTCAAGACAGCGATGAATCTGAAGGACAGTTCGACGTGGCGCTATCAGATGCGGTTGTCTGGCATCCAGAAGATAGCGTACGGGCAGGTGTTGCGGGTTTTAAACGTGACGGTGGTCGACCGTACAGTAGCTGTGTTGCGTTGAGTTGTGAGAGTACAATCTCAACACACGCATACAACTGCTCATAACTGATTTTTGTTATACGTTCGTCTGAAAATTTTGTTTCTTCAGTTCTGAGCTTCTTGTTCTCCGAAAACTTCCATTGTGATGCATTCATCAATGTGAAGTAACTTATCGTTAATAACGACTCGATGATTTAAGATGAAAAAAAAACCCAATGAATGAATTGCAGTGCGATTGCATTTGTTACAAATCGATGATTGATCATATGGTAAACGAAAGATTTTTATCATCAAGTGATATTGCAAGAAATTGATCAGTGCAGTAACAATAGGGTTGGATTCAGTCATATGATAAGGAATGATAGAGGCTTGAATGATAAAAGTTCGTAAATAATATGACGCACTTATTTGGTATCCAGCAATTTCGACATCCTGCAGCACTGGCCGAAAATCCGAATAACCCAACTCGAGCTCGATCATTTCATCAGATTGTGTTGCCAACTGCAATTAAAATGCTTCATATAAACCGAAATATCGGATGTTTTATTCACAGAGTGAATGATTTCTCATGAATGTGTTCATCCATACTTTTCGCAAGTGTCGTTTAATTTGTAATGGCGTTGAATCAGATGCAAAAATACATCTGCGAAATTGATCGATAACGCGTTTCTTGTGATGCAATGCCATCTGCATTGATCCATCTGCTGGATCTGGCGATATCCGTTGACTGATGTAGATCAGCCTGAATATTCAGTGTCATACTTCATGTCGATATCAATTTCTCCTCACAGAATATACTGTTTGATGAATATATCAAGAACACACATTACCAATGTATTATTCATCATTACAGTTGCTACATTTTGAGAATGTACGAGAATGGTATATCAAAAGATATTGTTTGCACAATTGAGTTTTCTTAAGCTGAACTATCGATACACACTACTCACCTATGTGC